CCCATGCTGATGTGAATGTTTGCATGATGTGCTTGGAGTTGTGCTTACCCCTTTCTGATGGAGTATTTTTCCCCCCTTCCTAAATGCAGGGCTTCAGATAACAGGGAGCGTGCTTATGAACATAGTGCCTATGGACACCATGAGCGGGGGACGGGAGGATTTGATCGGACGAGACATTACGATCAGGATTACTATAGAGATCCTCGAGAGCGGACTTTACAACACGGGCTCTATTATACTTCTCGGAGTCGAAGTCCAACCCGTTTTGATGCTCACGACCCCCGTTATGAACCTAGGGCCCGGGAGCAGTTTACATTGCCCAGTGTGGTACACAGGGATATCTACAGGGATGATATTACACGGGAGGTACGAGGCAGAAGGCCAGAGAGGAATTACCAGCACAGCAGGAGCCGGTCGCCGCACTCATCGCAGTCCAGGACACAGTCCCCGCAGCGCCTGGCCAGCCAGGCAGCCAGACCCACCCGCTCCCCCAGCGGCAGCGGCTCCCGGAGCAGGTCTTCCAGCAGCGACTCCATCAGCAGCAGCAGCAGTACCAGCAGCGACAGGTAGGTCCCGACCCAAAGCGACCGTTCCCTGGGTGTTGCAGGCTGTTTCCGAGGCACGGTGTGGAGTTGTGAGCCAGGGCTGTGGAGATAGAAGGTGTTTGGTGGCAGAGCGTTACTGGTGTAGAAGTAAAGCGGTGTGAAAGGCAGAAGGGCTCAGTTGGCAGGAAATGGATCGGAGGAGAACGGCGTTGCTGTGGTTAATTATTTTCCGTGGTGGATCTGTGCAGCTTCCATCAGGCACTGGCTGGGCAGCGCGGGGTGCACGGATGCTGCCTGTCTGTCTGAGGAGCAGGGAGCAATTTCGCTTGCCAAGTGAAGGAATGAGCAAGTTTTAAGGTCAACTGCATTTTACAGGACGTGCTGTAAAATACTTTAGGAAATGATGGATGGTGGCATTCAGTTTCCTCTTGTTCATGTTGCCGCCAACATTTCCAAGGTTGATCTCTTCCATTTTTCCCCTGTTGCCTCACAGCAAAAACTGCAGACTTGGAAGAATTAGAAAGAAATCATAAATCCAAGTGTTCATTTCCTAGTGATATCACCCACGGCCTTGGTTCTGCTTTGCTGTGGCTTTATAAACTAGTACAGGGGAAGAAAAAAAGTGCTGGAGCTAGTCATTGGAATTCTGGTGCCAATTTGAAAGGACATGTTGGAATGCCTCATGGATATTTAGCTTTTTAAGAATAAATTCACCCTAAAAGTGGAAAGGAAGGAGGTGCCATTGCACACAGGAAATGTTGGGTGAAGAGCTTTGAGGGGTTTGCAGAGTTGGAAACGTGTCCTTTGTGTGCCAATTGTTTTCCAAAGCTGAAAGCAGTAATTCAGTGATTATCAGTGTAATTAATAGTTGGGGTTTGATTATCGCTGCAAATGGAATTCTGCCACTGGTAACTCTCTAATGTTTTATAAACTCCTAACGTGCTCGATGCTGGAGTGTTGGGAAGGGTCGGATGGGCTGATGCTGGGGAGGGCAGATGGAAGGATGAGGAAGCTGAGAACCGTGTGAAGATTTATTTACTTCTTTCAGTTCATTTTCTCCTCCTGGATTTAGAAATCCAGGTCCTGGCTTGGCTGGAGAGCAGGTTAGGAGAGAGGCTCCTCTAGAATGATTGAGAGGACTTTGGGCTGCTCTGCTTATTACTAACACCTCTCTCCGAATGAGATCTCAGCACTTGGAGGAGGACAATCCCTTGTCAAAGATCTTTCACACCTGTTACAGCTTAAAAAAAGCTGGTGAGACTTCCATTGGTCTCCAATAAAACAACCCCGGAGAAGATGAATCAAAAGGAGGTCTGGTTACATTTAAGGTTAAAAAAAATCCCAAGCAGGGAGAAAAAAAACCTCTCTCTGGTGCTCCTTTGTGCATTGCAGAATGGGTAGAAGGGAGTCCAAGAAACTCGTCATATTTATGAAATGTCATTGTTGGGAGGTCGAGATGGGATGAAATTGTGGTTTGAATTTGAGAGGACTGAACGTGATCCCACTGGAACAAGGTTTTAGGATTAATCAGAAGAAAAGCAGTGTCTGCTGTGTGCTTCAGCGTTCCATCTTGGCAATTTCTGGTTGTAGTAATGGAAAACTAGATGATGCTCTGGGAGGAAAGGGAAATAAACATACTTCTTTCCTCATTAATGCAGAAATTCAGTAGAGCAAGTGATGGATTCTGGTGTATTGAATTCTGAAGGCTCAGAAAGCAGTTTTACATGTTTCTAAGCAATGAGTTAGAGATTAATAAATATTTATAACTTTATTTTGAAAAGCAAAACCCCAGCTGGCCTTAAAGCACAAGTGGGCTTTTCTGTTTAATTTTTAACATGCTTTGAATTCAGCCTCAGACCCCAGGGGAGCAAAAGCCACCTTGTCCCCTTCTCCCTGTGCAAGATACTTAGAGATCATGTACCCAGAGCAGGCAGAAACTGAGCCCCATTTCTATAGCCTGGGTAGTAAATTCTGGCTGTGTCATCCCTGGATTGCTTTACCAAATCCCCTTATTTTTCATTTCTGGAGTGGGATTTACCTGGAATAACTGAGGGTGGTTTGTTGTTGTCTGAGGAAGAATTACTTCTGGCAAATCACATAGTATTTCTCGGGGATTTTAGCAAACTGGAGATCCTCTTACGGCTTTATTCTAAGTGGAAATGGCTGATTTTGTGATGCTGTGAAATTACTGAGGTCTTTATATTTGTCACTCAGGTCTTGTCCTGGCCCTGCACTGGCAGGCTGGAGGAGGCAAAACGCTTTTTGCTCACTTAGAGGTGGGTCCCTGTTTGGGGACAGTGGGGAACTTGGTGTTAAAACACTTGGGACTGTTTTTGTGTGTGGCACCATCCTTCAGGCACTCTGAAAACCAGCAGAAAGGTGGCAAAGGAGAAGTTGGGGCTTTATTCCATCTGCTTTTCAGAGAGCTGCATGATGTAAATATGATTTATGTTAAATGGAGGTGATTTTCCTGGACAGTAACGTGAGGAAAGATGCTCTGCAGGTTGATTAAAGAAAAAAAAAGGTGAAAAAGCCTTTATTTCATAAAGGTTTGTTGTGTTGGGCTAAGCTTTAAATGTGTATTTGGAGGCCTTTGCAGGGGTGTGTAATGGGAGCTGCACAGGGGTGATGCAGAAGATAAGACCAAAAAGATCATGGTAAAAATAACCCCTGTTCTGTGCAGCAGTGCTCTGTTCAGTGTCCTGAGGCCTTGGCAGTTGCTGGGACACTGGTGGCTGTGGATGCTTGAGCTGGAGCCGCTTCCACACCCGTAATAGTTTGTGATTTGGAGTCATCCTGACTCGAGATTCCTCATTTTCCACATTCATTGTGGAAGAGGGTCATTGGGGTTTTAATCATCTTGGAAGCTTAAAAACCCCCAAAATGACGTTGGAATCTTCTGCCACCACCAGCCTCCATTTCTCCACTTCCCCCATGTGAACACGCACCACAAATGATCCATTAGCAAACATGTTTTCTGTGTTGTGTCATGGAAGGGGCAGAGTACGGATGGGAGCTGAGTGATCCCATTGGAAGCAAAACACATTTTGGTTGTGTCCTGCCCCATCTCCTTGGAAGAATCCCCCTTTTTCTATGTTTTTGGGTAGAAAACGAACTTTTCTAGGCTGCTGCTTGAGGTGTTCCAACATGCTAAAAATAATTTCCATGCTTTTTTTACTGTGTTCTGTAAAGTCAGGCGGTTCAACGCGTTTTGTGCTGCTCCACGTGGTACTGATTATTTCTAGCCCTTGCTGCTGTGCCGCCTCCCGGCACCGAGCAGCAGGATGTGTCGCTCTTAAACACTGGGTGAGGTGCCTTGTCCAGACGGGATCTAAACTGATGCACTGGATCCTTGGGTTTTCCTAGAGGTGATGGTTCAGAATGTGAAAGTATGAGCACCATGTGCATGTGTGTGTGTAAAGTCGTGGATCGGTGACCTGAGGTTTCCTTTTGAACCTTCTCTAATGTATTTCTATACTCTTCATCAGGGACTGGAGTGATAGGACAAGGGGTGATGGGTTCAAACTGAAACAGGGGAGATTCAGGTTGGAGATAAGGCAGAAGCTCTTCCCTGTGAGGGTGCTGAGGCGCTGGCACAGGGTGCCCAGAGAAGCTGTGGCTGCCCCATCCCTGGCAGTGCTCAAGGCCAGGTTGGACACAGGGGCTTGGAGCAAGCTGCTCTAGTAGAAGGTGTCCCTGCCCATGGCAGGGGTTGGAGATGGATGAGCTTTAAGCTCCCTTCAGCCTAAACCATTCTGTGATACTGTGATTTGTTTAGAGTGGTTGTTTGGTTGACATCGATGCTGGATTGTTACTGCAGAGGTGAATAATTTCCTATAGCTTGTAAAAAAGATTTGCTCTGGGATTAAAATGACAACTTCAGCTTCGATGCAGAATGACTTTATGTATGTTTCCCAGGATCTAGGAGAGCACAGTGCTGAAACAAAGCACAGGTAGGAAGTTGCTCATAGAGATGTTTGGAAATGGGATTTTAAAGTTCTAACGAGGAGTGGGCAAGTAATTAGAGATTATGTTTTAAGTTTTCGATTGTGATGAAATTCTTTCTGGAGCAGTGAGTTACAGTTGGAAAGGAACACGTATGTGTTATTTTATGTGTCTTAATATTGAAATAAACTGATGAAAAACACTGCCAAGAGAATTTTAATCATGGGAAAAACAGGCTCCCTGCAGCCTCAATGGAGGCTCCACTGCATTCTGTTCTGTCAGGGACTTTCTTAGCCCGTTCAAACAGCTCAAAGCGAAAGTACCAGAAAGTGAATTCAGTTTCATTGCATCATGCAGACCTTTCCCTACCATTGTCTTCATCGCCTCTTTCCCGCATAGTTTGCCTGCCAGCAAGTGATGAATCACTGACTTAGGCTCAGGAGTCAGGACTCTTCAGTGGGTTCAGAGATGCCTCTGCTGGGGACAGCTGAAAAACCGGGAAGAATGGAGTTAAATGGGGCTGTTGAGGCTTTATTTCAGGGTGTGTGCGATGGCCTTTGCTGATGTGAACTGATTCCATCGCAGTTTTGCACTGCAGAGATAACGTCAGTGGTTTTCATCTCTTCTGGCAGGCTGAGAGGGTTGAGCATGTTCCTGTTCGTGTGGGGAAGAGAATTAGGCAAAGATTGAAGGAATAATAAATAAATTACGTGGAGAAGGAAGCTTCCTTTTCACTCACCACAAAGGCAACAGTAAATCCGGTAATAGTCAGGTGCAGCAACACCTCATCCTCACCTCCTGTTCCCGTGCAGCCCTGTGCCGCTTTGATGTTCTCTCTGCGCAGGGAAACGTGAATTAAGGGAAGGAAAATTAAAAGCTCAGGGGTTTGTTACCGACTGTCGAGCGTTTTCACTTTGTTCTTTCGTGTGTCATCTAAATATAACCCCCTCCATCCTCCTCAACATCTTCCCTTCCCCTTTGGGAGCGTTTTGAGATGGAGCAGAGGCAGATTTCCAGTCCCTTTCAAGAAGGAGGAGATGTGGGGTTTTTTTGTGCTCAATAGAACAAAGCAAACCTTTATATTCTCCTTTAAAAACACCGCTTCTGCACGCACACAGTGCTGTGGACTGAAATAGGTGATAAACCGCCCGGGATCGCAGCTGGCCTGGCACCGAACGGTGCCACCGTCCCCTCCTCACCTCAGCTGGCGCCGGCTCGCGTTACCTCAGCGTCAGCCATGAGCAACGCGCGTTGCATGAGGAGGGTTTAACCTCGCTCCCCGCCGCTTTAGGTCTCCTCGGAGCCCGGCTGTGATGGAAGCGGGGACACCGGGGGGGGTGCTCGGTGTGTTTGGGAGCCGAGGACACCCGGTTCCCTGCCCGCGGGCACCCGCAGCCCCGGCGGCCGCCTCAGCGAGCGCGGAGGGCGGGTTGTTTGTGCCGCAGAACCGGTCTGAACCGGCGGGAGCCGGCCCGGCGCGCCGCCCCTCAGCCGCGGCGGCGAAAAACACCTCCGAAAACACAAATAAACCGCGGTAGAAACGGTCAAAATGGTTAAAACAGAGCCCCAGCCCCTCGCTGCGGCGGGTTTAGCTCCTGGGTGAAGGAAGGGCTTTATCCGCAGCGCCTGTGTGGAAGCGGGGAGCTGAGGTAACCTCGAGCGTTCTAGCTCGCTTTTTTGTCCTTAAAAACCTCCCTTCAGCGCCCGACGGAGAAATGAGCCCCCCAAAACCAGATCCGAAGGTAAATATCATCGGATACGGAGCAGGTAGGACGCAGTTGTGACATAAACCCGAGGTTTCTCACCATTGCTAAGCCCCTCCGGGAGAACCCACCTCCGTTTTCATGTGAATACACAATAAAATCCTTTCCGATGGTATCTGTAGTTTTTACACAGTTTTCAGTGCGTGAGTGGCCCCAGAAAAGAGTGGAGGTTTTGCTTCAGTGCATAACACCCCCCTCCGCAGCACTCCCAGTAAGAGGTGGTAATTGCTGGCTCTGAATGGCAAAGCAATTAAGCCTCTTCTTAAATGGGCGGCAGGCGGTGTTGATCGGGATCTGGTCTGGCAGCCTTTGTTTCTGTAGCAGGGCCGGGGAGCCGAACGGCTGCTGTTTCAAAGGGCATTTGCCTTTACAGGCGGAGAAATCCATCTTTTTCCCTCAATAAATCTCGGGAAGGGGATCTCGAAAGTGCATCGTGTTTTGGGGGTGGCTGTGAAGGGAAAAGGGTCCTTTATTATGATGAGAGCTATTTTGATCATCTGATGACTTTATTGTATTGCATTCTCTTAGAGCAGTTGGTTTTGTTTAATGCTGTAAAAGCTTCTTGCAGTTATATCCGAGCCTTTGTTAGCAAATACAGAGGTTTCTGGCAGCTAAATCCAGACCCTGGTGTGAAGGTGCCTTATCTGTGGAGGGAGGAGAGCCTGCCGTGTCTTACAAACATCTCCAGGTCACAGCTTCAGGTCTGCAGATCTGGTGTGAGGTTTGGCAATTCCCGGTCTTCCCAACCTCCTCCTTAAGGAACAGTGGGAAAAACTGGAGCCATATGGAAGGCATTGCTCCCACCGGCATCGGGGGACACGCTGGCCTCCTGAGCTTTGCGTTGGGCTGTTTGTTAGCCCCGTGGGAGCTGCTGAGCATTGATTATCATTAATAATAACCCTCCTGCACGGAGGAAGGAGTTGGTGCTGCTGGTGGATGAGGTTTGACTTTGGGGTTGCGCGTGCGCGCGTTAACCAAATGGTCACTTCTAATTGCGTTTTTAAGGCTTTGATTTCCTTCCAAGTATTTTGCTTAATCATCTTGAGTAGGCTGAGGGAAGGAAAGAATTAGCTGAGGTCAGGGAAGTTGAAGCTGCCCGTGTTTCATCTCAGGAGCAGGGCTTCGACTGAGGGATCCTGAAGTCAGGAAGGAATCTGCCTCCTGTTCCCTTCCTGCAGCACACCCAGAGGGTAAGGGGGAATCAGACCCCCCCAAAGCCAACCAAATCCAGGGAATGGTGTAGTGCTGGGGGCCTCCTGCTGTGGGAATGGTCCTGATTTCTCTTTCTTTGTGGGAAATACAACTGGGATGTGAATCATCACTAAAATAGATTAGAGGGATCATAGTCTAGAAGTGCCTGCTTGTCTGCGCGGCTGATGGAGTCTAGACAGCTCAGATGGAGACACATACATTACAGGCACCAAAAGGTGGGGGAGAGGATTCCCGGCATAAAGACCTTTGGAATCATGGGCTGTTTAATAATTTCTAATGAATATTCACGCAGAGGGATGAATAGCAAAAGAGGAAGGTTGTGCTGAATGCTTCCGGAAAAAACACTGGTCATTAGGGTGATCAAAGGAAGAACCCAACCGCCACCTGTGTTCAGTCATATGTGTTGCCATTAAAGCACACACACAGCGTCCCTTCACATCTTAAAGATTGGACTTGTAAAAACAGTGATTTGGGATTTTTCTCCCCAAAGAGGATGTTTCTGGCTCTGCCAGTGGTGTGGATGCAGGCGCTGTTGTATCTTCAGGTGGCGAACCTTCCCCTTTGAATCTCTTTTTGAGGTATTTCTGGGCATTAACCTTAAAAACAACTTTAGGTGGAACATGCTGTGCTTCAGGGGAAGTCACAGGGATGTGAATAAATGGTAAATAACCCTAATTGGGGAAAACCAGAAGAATATCAACCCTCAGCCTTTGCCAGCTGAACTAACCACGTAACTGATGCAGTTAGGTTTGCCCTTAACATCCAGGCATCAAGCATAGTCCATCCACGACATTGCAAGTGCCAAAACCACTAATGATGGCATCGAGGTTTTAAGCGTGAAAGCTTCTTAGCGGGTGATTAGATATCCCTCTGCAAATCACCACTGTCAGCTGGTAATGCCCTGTGGAGGGGAGGATGCCGCACGTTTCCCAGTGGAAAATCGCAGACTCAAGAGAATTGAGGGTTTTGTTGTATAGAGGAAAGACAATTCATGTATGTTAGACTGTTTTTGAAGATCTTTAATGGAAGCGGAAGCTGAGTTTCCAAAAGGAGGAGGGACATGGGCTGTGTAGGTGCTGTATGAATAAACCCCATGAAAACCTCATGTTATTAGGTGCCTAATATCCTTTTTTTTGGTGCATGGCATTAAGAAGCAAAACTTGAATTCCTCCTTCCAAGAATCCCGTAACAAGGGTAGGGGACCTTTGCTTTCCTGGTGCTTGCTGGGTTTTGGGAGCAAACACCCCATCTCCTTCCAACTGTCGAGACCTCTCCTTTTTGCAGAAGTGAAATGTGGAACCTTTTGAATACTTCTCTTTATAAAACATCTGGGCTTATGTGTACAGTTGCTTTATCTAGCTCAAAGTGATGATTTCAGCTGAAAGACACTTAAAAATCTAGGATGGCAGTAAAGGGACCCGTTGGAGAATCCTTTCTATGGGAGGGCAGTGGTTTTCAGGGCCCTCTCCTCATTTCTTCCACAGTTGCCTTATATTTTCCATAGATGCCCCAAAATTGTCCTTGTTTTTATATCTGGGCAAAAACATGATGAGGAGATACATGTGTATTTATATATATAAAATAAGACCTCATCAAGCCCTTTAGAAAGGAGGAGAAATATTAAGATGCATTTCCAGCAGAGCCTGGCAGTGAGTGCTCTCACGTATTTTGTTATCTTTCATCTATTTGAGAGTAGAAAGCTTTTCCAGTGCGATAAGGGGTGAAAGGAAGGCAGTGTTCTCCTCCTGACCGAGAATTCCCAAGAATGAGCTGCACTGGGTCCCTGTGGGCAGACGGAGCTGGTTGGGAGATGCAAAGCCGCCCTACTTACTGTGGCTGCTACAGGTTTGACCTCCTTGTATCAGCTTGTTTGGTAAGAGGTTGCTGCAAGATCTCAAACCCTCAAATTATGTAAGATTTACACAGTGGCTTTGAAGTTAGTCCCTCCCTTCGGTGTTTGTTTACTGCCTGGTATGTCCTGCTGTCTGGATGGGGAAGGATGAATAGTCACAGAAAGGGAGCTATCGGGTTAGTACCACTTTTGTATCCCTCTTTGCCTTCTAAATGCGTGTGGAGCTGGGCTTATCCCTGATCCAGAGGCCGGGAATACACCACAGACAGACATCCTGTCCTGCGCCGGTCGGGGCTTTGCTGGGTAAATGCTGGCTTGTGAGTTTTCTGTTTGTTTGTTTTGAGGTGGAGGGAGATGAGGAATGGCTTGTTGGGTTGTTAGAGGAGAAGCAAATAGATGCTATCTAGCAGTTATTCCAGAAGGAGTTTATGCTGGGTTTGCTTTTTAACATGCAGTTTCCCTGTAGCTTCTAGAAACCCCATGTGAGAAAAGGAAGATGCTTCATTAATGCTGTATGTGTGGCTTGCAGACCGTGCCTGCCGTGGGTTGGAGGTTGTAAAGCACTGAATCCCAAAAGGAGGCACACAGGTGGGGCACATGGGTTTTGCCTGTGGGAATTCCTTGGAGGACTTTCCTCTTGTCCTGGATCCCAGTGTGCCAGCTGAATTGCCTCCTCCTTTCTCAGCCCTGGTAACAATACGCTGCCATGTGGTTTGGAGGCCAAGGCTGTAAAGGCAGTCGATCAGGGAGTTGGGAGGATGTTAAGGCAGGTTTTACTTGCATGTTTCCCTCTTCTTGCATTTTCCCCACAGCTCTTAAGTCCTCACTCTCGTGTTACAGTCCCTGGTCTTTTGGGAAGAGGCATCCTTGGACCATGTGGAGGTTTAGTCACTAAACATTGCCAAACTAAATTGCAGTAGGGTGCTTTATCAGAAATTACTCATAAGAGACCATCACAAGGACGGCTCTGATACTGGTTTTATGGGATTTTTTAAATACCTAAGGCTGAAGTACTCTGTGTAGTTGCTTGACAAATGTAAAGACACATTTTCCCCTCCAAGACAGCACACATTCACTCTGCTGTGGTGCTTCACCTGT